GAGAGCTTCATAGTGGTGAGACTTAATCCCTTGCACCACCAGGGAGGCCCCAATATGCCATATAGTCTTATTCCTCTCATTTGTGGTTGGGCACTTAGGTTGTATCCATAACTGGACTCTCATCTACAGTGAACATAAGAATGCATGTATCCCTTCAAATTAATGTTTTTGCTTTCTTCAAGTAGATACTGGGAGTGGGATTGCTGGGTCATATGTTAAATCTATTCTTAATATATTTAATATTATTAAAAAATACTGTTTTCCATAGTGGTTGGATAATTCTTGAGTACTTGAGTATTTTTTTCATATTTCCCTTTTCTTCTACCGTGTGCCTTATCTTCAAAATCACTGAATCAGTCCTCTGACCTATTTTGCTTCCATAGCTTTCTCTGGGATTTTTAATATAGATATATGAAATAATAGATAATTTAATCAGTCACCTTGGACATTTTACATGCTGAGTTTCTGTTTTCTTCTCATCTCTTGTTCAGTGAAGCATGAATCTCTTCCATGCCCTTTCTAGTGCAATCTGTGCTGGTCTGTGCTGTCAAAGAGTGGTTAGAGATTCTTTACAAGCCTTGAGATTCTCTGGGTATATTGCTTTTGAATGAATACTTATCCGATCCTGTAAGAAGCAAGAAACTTTCTCTGATGCCATCTTTGTTTCCTGAATCTCTCTTTTTTTTTTCCAAATTCTCTTTTCCCCTCCTTTTTGAATAATCAGTATCTGTTAACAGTTAAATTTGAACAAAATGAAAATCCCTCTTAATTTTTTGAGATGATTATTGTTAATATTTTAATCTTCATAGGGTTTCTTTTCTGTTCTCATTTTCAGCTAATTTGAAAAAAAAAACTGTGTACATAAGCAGAATATATTAGGCTGGACATACTGTTATTGAATAAAAAAGGATATACAGGCCTCCCTGGTGGCGCAGTGGGTTGAGCACAGCCCTGTGAAGCTGTCCGCAGCCTCTGCAGTGTGGTTTCAATCCCAGCCGGCCAGGGAGATTCCCACATGGCGCAGCAGACCTCTCCTGTCACACCTGCTACTCCCCTCAGCAGTGCTTTTGGTCGGTCTGCCTGTTTTGCTCCCCACTCAGTCTCCTCTCACCCTCCTGCGCCTCTGGCCTGTACCCCAGCTATTGTATAAATAAAAAATAAATCTTTAAAAAAAGAGTATATACATAAGAGGAAATCTTTCCCTATTCCCTCTGTTTGAAATTCTTTTGTTATGACACTTTCCTAGCATTCTGACCTTTCTCTTTCCTTTGTTTTATTTTTTTAAAAGATATATTTATTTATTTACACAAGCACTGGGTACAATCAGAAGCGCAGGAGGGTGAGAGAATTCACCAGAGCCAGAGCAGGGAGCAGAGCAGGCAGATTGACGAAGTACACTGCTGAGGGGAGCAGCAGGTGGCAGGAGAGGCCTGCGCGCCATGTGGGACCCTCGCCTGGAGGCTGGGGATTGAACTAGCGCTGCAGAGGCTGCGGGCAGCTTTGCAACCCAGTGCTCAACCGCTGCGCCACCGGGGAGGCCCTCTTACCTTTGTTTTAAAACCCCACTTGTAAACTTCACTAGGAAGCCTATTCCCAGCACAGTACTTTGTACATATTATTGATTTAACTATTATTGAATTGGCCATTCTATATAGCAGTATAAGTTATAACTATTTTCTTAATTTGTATTTATAGAATTAGAATTATTGACTCAAAGGGGATCACTATTTTTAAGCTTCTTGTTACATATTTATAACTTATTTTTTATGGTTTATGACTTATGGCTTTTAGCTGGATTACTACATCTGGAACAGTTGCAATGAGGTATATCTTCTACTAAATAATGCTCCTACCCTAAAAAAAATTTTTTTAAATCATATATGCCTAAAATTATTACTAGTTAATGAAATAATGTTTTTGATATATGTAAAATAAATATTAGTGTCATGAAAACAGCTATTTAAACCAGTGAAAATCACTGTCTCAAATTGCTCATAATTTTTGTGATGGCCAGGTACAAAAGGATAATTGTATAGATACAATCCTCACTATCAGAGCACACAGAGGGGCATTTTATCTAAATTCCATGAGAGTGCATGGGCACAAAACAAAGTAAAAGTAAACTAAGCAAACATGGGACTAGGAAGTGATATTTGAAGAAAAAGGAAAGGTATCATATCCTGAAGTATACTATGCATAGGAGCTGAGCCAACAATGTATTCGCAGTAAATTTTTGTAATTTGATATGATTGGATTTTAGGTAACAAATGAAATGAAAAGGGAATTGAAGTAGGTGAGGGCCTTCTAGGATTCACAGCAAATACAGAAGCCATTTTTATATAACAGGTAGTCTTTTTTAACAGCCTTTAAATAGTGGTACCACAGTTCTCAAGCTGTGCTGCAAGATTCTCTGGGGTTCATCAGCAAGTTCTCAGGATGCTACAGTATACTTTAATAAGTAACTGTGGTTATTAAAGAATGTAATAAAAATGTGATATCTTTCAATTTGTGAAATTTAAATACCTACTAAATTGTTGTTAAGTATGTTCTATATAATATGTTAATAATGTATTGTGAGTATTCCCGTTACTCATCCTTACTACATAATAAATGAAATGTTTCTGTATGCCTGTTGGGGTATAGGAAAAAATTAACTGAGACACTAAGGTCACCAAGAAATTTAGGAAACCTGGGATCTATAATATATAATATTAAAGCACAGACTTGTGATGTTAATGTGATGTTAAGCATTGTTTTACTCATTTCACTTTATTTGAAGGTAGACAACAGGAGTTTGGGATTTTTCTTTTAATAGTTGTATTAGTGTTATAGATAACCAGCCAAAGATAGATCCATGAACTTTGGAAACTGAATAAATGGGTAGGATTTTATTGCATTATACATTATAATGTATATTTTATTACATTATTTTTGGCTCGAGTAGAACTTCATTCTATATCAGCATAGATAAGAATCAGAAATTACAGCCAGGGGCCTCCCCTGGTGGCATAGCCATTAAGCACTGGGCTGCAGCACATCCCCGGCCACCGGCAAGGGTCCTACATGGCGCAACAGACCTCTTCTGTCTCTCCCACTGCTCCCCTCAGCAGTGTATTTCATCAGTGTGCCTATTCTGTTCCCCGCTCTGGCTCTGGTGAATTCTCTCACCCTCCTGCACATCTGACTGTACCCCAGTGCTTGTATAAATAAATAAATAAATCTAAAAAGAAAGAGAGAAATTACAGCCAGTACTTAGGTTACCTATTCCAGGAATTCTTATCTAGCATTGATGGAACCTGAACACTGCACGTACAAACTTAAAATTTTCTTTTCTGCTATTTGTGAGGATTTTAAGGGACTTATCAGCTCTAGTAAGAATGGATTTGTAGATAAACTATTTCATATCTGTGTATAGTATTCCTATGGGTGCACAGCATAAATTTGTACCAAAGCCAATATTAGATCCCATATCTTCCCATCTGTTAACTCATTTTTTCCCACTCCCTTGCAAGACACCTCATTTTTTAAAGGTTGTGAATTAGATGTAAAAAGTATTTGTACCAAAAATTTAAACAGAACTTATTTATATGTATGTCAGGCATCCTCCCCAAAATTAAAGAAAATCTTTTAACTAATTAGATCTGTGGTGCAAAAGGCACATTAAGGGTATATAGTGGAATATTAATCTTTTTTCTATGTCCTTCACAAACTCAATTCCTCAATTCCTCTTCCCAGACATAAAAAATTAGTTTTTTGTGTTTTAGAAATCAAAAGTTTAAGAACCAACAGTACTGTAATAATCTATTGTAAAGTAGTAAATGATAAACATAGGTAAAGCATTATTCTGGTTGTTTTAAGTGAAAATTAGATGCGTATAACTGATTTCTTTTTTTTTTTAAAGATTTATTTATTTTGCATACAAGGGCTGGCGTGCAGGTCAGTGGTGTGGGGAGGTGAGAGGATTCACCAGAGACAGTGGAGAGCAGAACAGGTGGATCTACTGAAATATACTGCTGAAGGGAGCAATAGGTGAGACAGGAGAGGTCTGCTGTGCCATGTGGATTAGCTCCCTTGCCGGGGATCAAACTTGTGCTGCAGTGGCTGTAGATAGCTTCATAGTGTGGAGACTTAACCCCTTGCGCCACCAGGAAGGCTCTGTTTTCTTATTTTAAGATGAGTAGTTGGGTATTATGTATTGTCTTAGCACTATCTGTAGGAAATAACTTGGACATGCTTTCTAATAATGATGTTTTTGTAGTGAGTTCTGCAAATTATTGAGATAGTTAACTGTAAAATGTTTTGAATGTGGCCTTTCCAAGTATAATCCATGTGACTCATTAAGTAAAAAGTAGTCATAAAGATAGCACTATATTATCACTAATATTGCCAGTATTAAAGTGGTTTCTTAGAGAAAATAAAATAACTCAGCTGTAGAATTTAATAATACTTTTTATTTATTAAGAGACTACAATGGGCCAAGAATTATATTTGGAACATAAAATATTTTGAATTATTACTATATAAATCATAAAATATTTTTAATTATTACTATAGCATAATGCATGTAATACCTGCTCACACATCTATAAAATACTAGTGCTATTATTTAGATTTTATAACCTTTCAGTAGTTTAACTTATTGAAAGGTTAGATAACTTGTCCAAAATTCTCAGTGTAGATATTGGTAACTCATTTGGTTTGATGGTATATCAAAAATCCATTGCCTTTATACAACCCAAAGTATTTTTTGTGTGCAGATGTTAGTTTATTTTAATATAGATTTATTTATCAAGTAATGCTAATGAGTGGGCAGTTTTAGAACTTATGATTTTGAATGGATATAAGAAAAGTGGTAAGTAGTAGTCTTTATTAAGGAAAGAATTAAATGTAATGTACTTATAAAGAATCACTTTATGTACAGTTTTATTCCTATGCTGGGCATTCTACTAGTAACTAACATTCCTAAATTCTCATATTTGTATTTTTTTTTTTCTCTGTAGGGAGAGTCCCGAAGTGTTTCATTTTCTGACAATGTGAGTGCTGTTCAAAAATTAGACTTTTCAGATACAATGGTGCAACAAAAATTGGATGATATCAGGGATCAAATGAAGAGAGAAATAAGGAAAGAGCTGAAAATCAAAGAAGGAGCTGAAAATCTTAGGAAAGTTACAACAGATAAAAAAAATTTGGCTTATGTGGACAACATTTTGAAAAAATCGAATAAAAAGTTGGAAGAATTGCATCACAAGCTACAAGAATTAAACGCACATATTGTTGTATCAGACCCAGAAGATGTTACAGGTATATATGTATTTTATTTCATGTTCATACTGTATATTGATAAGAAATATATCAGTTATTGAAATAGTAAACCTTGTGACTTAATAATTTATAGTAGCTTTTCTGAATGTATAGGGACTATTTTTTCTCTTACACTTAAGGTCTTGGTGATAATCTATTCAAAAGGGCAGAGAGTTAATGGATATGAAAATTGAAACATTTACTTAGAGATGATAATTCTGCCGCCTGTTCGCCTACCCTTTGTCAGCAGGACATTACTTAGAGTTATTTTTCCAGTGTTAATCATTTATATTAAGTGAACCACAAGCTCTTACTTGATTCATTCTGTGATCAGCAGCATAAGTTTGCCAGATGACATTTTAAAGTTAAAAATGCGTTCTGTGACCAAAAGACATCTTTATTCTTTGCAAATGTAATTATTTAAACCTGTGACCTTTATTCTTAGTGTACTAAGCAACTGAATTAATAACTATACTACCAGGCATATTGTTTTAAAAAGACAAAAATTTTCAAAGCGAACATTACTTTTCCCTTCCTTAAATATATATAGATAATAAAAGGAAAATATAATGCATAAATCCAAACTAAGCATAATTTTTAAACAGTAGAATATCACAAATGTTTGTGTTGGAAATTTTCAGTGTTACAGAAAATAAAAATAGAAAACTACTCTTGTTCCCCCTAAACCTGCTCCCTAAAGTTAGCATTGCTAATTTTTTGATATATCCTTCTAGAAAAAACTTGGTATTTGTACCATTATCTATCTTTCTATGTATACATTACCCCTAATAGTTTTCATTTATAAAATTATGACATATTTGATAGAATAGTCTTTGCAAAGATGATATTTTTTAGCAAGATATTTAATCAGTAACTTGATTTCTATACTCTGTAACTCAATTTCTTTGCCTGCAAAGTAGTAATACATATAGAGTAATATACATACAGAGCAATACATGTAGAGTATCAAGCATCATAGAAATTATAGAAGAACCTGTGCAATTTCATAATGCAAAATAACGGATATAAGTAAAATTAAATTCAATTAAGAAATACATAAATTTAAGAACCTTAAATTATCAGTCTCATAGATTGCATAAATTCTTCTAATGTTTAGTGTGCTTCATAGAACTTGTTTTTTAATACATCACTTTCAAACCATAGGGATTTCATTTGGAGACTTCATGTGGACTTCAGCCTCTAACAATAATTGAATTTTTAAAATGAAAGGAACCATTTTCTTATTTAGAGTTGAAATAATCCCAAAGGTGTAAATTAATTTGTCTAGAATCGTAAGTTAGCTAAAGAATTCTTCGGTATGTCATCTAGCATTCTATTGCTCACATTAAATAATTATATTATAAATGGAAATTTTTATTAAAAAGTTGCTTTTTAAATGCATTATATAAACTTAGAAATAGCCTGTTCTCTTGGAACTCTGCCGAGCTCTACATATTTTGTCCATTACATCTTTAGGATAGAGTCTAAAATAAGAAATGGTCCTGGGGCTTTAAACTCTGTTTATTTAGAGAAAACATTTTCCACCTCTCAGAGTACCTTGTAATTGGAATGTAGAGAGTTTCTGCCACACAAAGAGCAGCCCCTTAAAAAAAAACCAAAAAACTTAAGTATAAACTACATATATTAAAATGTGCATATTTTAACTGTGTGATTTAATAAGTATTAACAATTGTGTGCCCCAGGTAACCATCACTGCAAGCAGTAATCTTGAATATTTCTATCATCTTAATGGTTTATATATATATATATATATATATATATATATCAGTCAATTCCTAATCCTCATGCCTGGCCTTACTCAACCATTGGTCTGCCTTCAATTACTTTCTGTTAAATTTGTATTTTCCAGAAATGCATAGAAATGAATTACCTTTAAGTCCCACTATCAAAATCCTTTTCTCCATGAAAAACCAATTTGGACCACTGTAAAACCTTCCCTGACTTGCTCTGATTCTTCTCTGTTCTGCTTTTTCCATTGATTAATATATGGACATCATTTATTTCTATACATGTTTATATCACTACACTGTATGTTCCTTCAGGGCAAGGACATATTTTCATTCATCTGTTTTCAAGGTTTATCCCAGAACCTGGTATATTTTGTATTTACACAACAAACAAACAAAACATGGCAAATAGAAATCTTGTATTGGCTCTTATAATTAACACTAAGATATAATCTCTCATATTTTAAATATTTGATAAATTAAGGAATAAACCTTAAATAAAAGTTTAGGAAGAAATTCAGAAACTTTCTTTACTGATCACTTTTAGTGTTAATTTTTCAGGTAATTACAAGGCAAATGTTATGTGAAATAGTTTCTACTGTGACTTCCTATTATTTCAGTTTGTAATAAACTTGAAAAGTTTATTTCCAAGTTATTAAAATTTTAATTTATTAAAAAATTAGCTCTCTTAGTAGGTGGCATATTCACAAAATTTGATATTAAGGTTTTTTATGTTTTTTTTTATTTACCCTCATTATTGACTTAACAGCATTAAAAGCAAAAACAACACAAGAGTATTAAAGATAGTTCAGCATTCATTTTATGTCAAGTTGCCATAAGATTTTATATATTTTGCACTGCACACAAAGGTAAGCAAAATTATATCTTTTAGATTACATCTGTCAAGAAGATTCAGGACATGGTACATTGCTCTCACTTCTTTAAAATATGTGTCTGATAGTTCTGGCCAAAACCTCTAATATTAAAATAAACAGAAGTGGTGACATTGGGTATCCTTGATTTGTGGTGGCTCTTAGGAAAACTTTACCTTTTTTTACCATCATTATGTTGACTGTTGGTTTGTGATATTTAGACTTTATTATAGTGAGGTAGGTTGCTTCTGGTCCCATCTTGTTTTGAGTTTTTATCATAAATGGGTGCAGAATCTTATCAAATGCTTTCTCTGTGTCTATTCGTATTATGATTTTTATTTTTACTTTTGTTTATGTGTTGCATCACATTGATTGATTTACACATACTTAACTATCCTTGTTTTTCCTGAGTAAATCCCATGCGATCATGGAATATAATTCTGTTGATTTTGACTTGCTAATATTCTCTTGAAGATTTTTGAATCAGTATTCATCAGATATATTAATCTATAATTTTCTTGTCCTGTCTTTGTCTGGTTTCAATATTAAGGTAATGTTGACACTGTAGAATGTATTAGGGAACATTCCCTCTTATTTTTAAAAACAATTTGAACAACATAGATATTGGTTCTTTTTTAAAGGTTTGATGAAATTCATATGTAAAGCCATCTACTTCTGTGTGGTTTGAAAGATTTTTTATTACGGTTTCAATTTCCATGCTTGTGATTGGTTCATTTCATCTGTTTCTTCCCTGGTTAGTCTTGATGTAGGGTGTTATTAACCTAAAAATTAGTCCTTTTCTTCAAGGTTATCAAGTTTATTAGCATAGAGTTGTTGATAGTAATCTCTTGTTTTTGTTCACCATTTCTTCATGCGTCTGAGATGTTCCTTCTAGAGTCATTTTCTTCTTCCTGAAGGTATATCATTTAAAAAGGTATTTACCATAGGTATGCAATTCTAAATTGGCATTTATTTTCTCTCAGCACTTGAAAACTGTCATTTCAGTTTTCTGGAGCCCACTGTTGTTGAGGAGGCAGATGTCAGTGTAATGTTTACAGCCAGAAAATAACTTGCCTTTCTCTCTAGCTGCTTTTAAGATACTCTCTGTCTGAGGTGTTTTACCCTTTAAGAACAGTAGCATTTGCTCTGTTTGGGATTTGTTGGAGTTTCTGAATCTGAAATTTGGGTATTTCATCAATTAAGGTGATTTTTAGCTGCTGTCCCTATGAATATTGCATCTCCTGTATTTCCTCTAGTCTCTCATTTTCGAACACCAGTTAATGAAGATAATTTCTTCAAGTTTCTCTCCATTTCTCTAATACCTTCTTTACCTGTGTGCAGTTTATTCTTTGTAGAAAAAGTTGTGATGTATAATTTTTTTAATTTACTTTTATTGAGATATAATCTTTAATGTTTTAGTAAGAATAGTTTTTAATTTATGTCTGTTACATCATTGTGTATTCCCTATAAAATTCCCATTACCAATTCACCTGTGAACCTTCACCATAGTCCCTTGTGCTCCTCTCTCCCCGTTTTGATCCTTTCCCCCTCCCTCGCAGAATGTAACTGAGATATAATTGATATGTAAGTTCAAGGTGTACAACGTGTTGGTTTGATATATTTATATATTGCAATATGGTTATCACCACAGTATTAGCTGGCACCTCCATTACATAATTATCATTTCTTTTTTGTGTTAGGAACAATTAAGATATAGTTTCTTAGCTTTGAAGTTTATAATATAATGTTGTTTACAGTCACCATGCTGTACATTAGATATCCAGGACTTGTTATGTACTGGTTTCAAGTTTGTACCCTTAAATAACCTCTCTGATTTCCTCTAACCCCTAGCCACTGGTAACCAGCCACCGTTCTACTCCGTTTATTTATAAAATTGTCTGTTTTCAGAGTGCACGTACAAGTAATGTCATGTATTGTTTGTCTTTCTCTGTCTATCTCAATTTAATGCCCTCAAGATCTGTCATTGTTGTTGCACATAGCAGGATTTCCTTGTTTCTGATAATAGAATAATAGTCCATTTGTGTATATATGCACACACACACATATTTCACCTCTTTATTCATTTCTTGAGGAAGAACCTAGATTGTTTGCATATCTTGGTTATTGTGACTAATGCTGCTTTGGATATATATCTAGGAGGGGAATTGCTGGACCGTATTATATATATGTTATTAATTTTTTGAGGAATTTATCAGTACATTCCCAGTAACAGTATACAGGGTTCCTTTATCTTTAAGGAACCCTTACCAATGCTTGTTATCACCTTTCTTCTTACTAACTGTTCTAGCAAGTGTGAGGTTGTATCTTATTGTGGTTTTGATTTGTGTTATCCTGATGATTAGTGATTTCAGCAACTTTTCATATACCTGCTGGCCATTTGGATATTTTTGGGAAAATGTTAATTTAGTTTCTTTGTCCATTTTTTCATCAGACTGTCTTTCTGATGTTTTCAGTCATGTGAGATCTTTCAGTATTTGCAGATATTCCCTCCTGTAGTTTGTCTTTTCATTTTGTTGCTCTTTTACTGTACAGAAAAGCTTTTTAGTATGATATAGTCTAACTTGGGTTTTTTTTTTTTTTTTTTTTGCTTTTGTTGGTTGTGCTTTTGGTGTCAAAAAAAAAATCATACCCAAAAAATCATTAAGACAGTGTTAGTGACTTCTTCCCTACATATTTCTTCTAGTTTTTTGGTACCAAGTCTTATGTTTAAGTATTTGAGTTACTGATTCTTGCTTGCCTGTAACTGGATGCTAAAGTGAATGAGATTCTTCCCTGGTTCCCTGGTGTATAGTGCTGGATGGCACAGACCCCATAGAGGCACCCTTGTTCATGGATGGATGTCTAATTTCATTGTTAGAAAAGGGGAAATGAAAGGGAGGAACCATTATAGTCTTCTGATGCTGTTATCACCTATAATTTTAGTTATTCAGTTTGAAATATTTTCCATTGTCTTTGCAATCCGGTGAGTTACTTAAAGGGGTGTTTCTTAGTTATTAAACAAATGAGGATTTTCGAATTATCCTTTATTGATTAATTTCTTATTTAATCACACTGTAGTTCTTCAAATTTGCTGAGCATGTTCTATTTGCCCTATATATGGTCAAGTTTTAAAAATGTATTGTGTACTTAAAAATAATATTCTCCAGGTGTTTAGTGTTATTCCTGATATGTTAATAGGCTAATCATCTAATTGTGATGTTAAGCCTTCTGTATCCTTGCTGGATTTTTGTCTGCTTATTTTCTATTGCAAAAATATTGCATTAGTGTTTAGTGAAATGTGAAGTTGCCATTTTCTTTTTAATTCTCTTAATTTTTGATTTATCTTTTGGCCTTATTAGTTGGCACCTACCAATTTAAAATTGATACATATTTTCTCTTGAAAAGGAAAATAAGTTATTCTACATGACTTTTTTAAATTTCCCAGTATTTTTGTTGTTAATGTAATTTGGAGATTGGTGTTACTGATTGCATGAAATACCTTTTTTTCAGTTTTTTACTTTCAACTTTCTATTATGTTTTGGGTATGTATTTTGTGAATAATATTGGGTTGGATTTGATTTTATTTGTTTGTTTTTATCTATGCTAGTGATCTTTATCTTTTACCTGGTTCATTTGGTCCAGTGATTTACATAACTAGTGGTAATATTAGGATTTATATTTAATATCTTATTTTGTAATTTTAACAATTTTTTCTTGCTACTTTTATTGTATTTTTAAACAAAAGTCAGTTATCTTGGAAATTTCTGTCATGCATACTTATCAAAGAACTTAATTACTGTATCCATCTCTCACATAATTCAGAAGTCTTAGAATGCCTCTATTTACCCATAACTTGATTTATATATTGCTGTTACCTTAATTTTAGTTATATTTAGCATGAATGTCAGAGATTAAGTATTTAAAGTCATTCAAAGGAAGCTTTTCTGTGCTCTTCATTACTCAGTTTTCTTTTGATGTACCAATTAGTATTACTTTTTTTCTTCCTGAAGTACATTGTATAACATTTCTTCTTAAGAATTGAGTATCATTTCCATTTTCCTTTGCTAGTGTTTTTATTTTGTTCTCATTCTTGAAAGGTGTCTTCACTGAGTTTACATATAAGCTTGATGGTTATATTATTAACTTAAAGAATCTTCATCTTCTTCTAACCTTCATTGTTGAGTTTGCAAAGTCTACTGTTAATCTAATAGAAGCTTTTTTAAAGGTGCCTTTTTTGTGGCTGTTCTTAAGGTTTTCTGTTACTTTTTTTTTTTAAATATATAAATATGTGTTCTACCATGAGATGTATATGGTCCTGTTTTTGCTTTGTTTTTTTTTTAATTTATTTTTGTGTAGAAGAACTGGGGTGTAGATCAGAGTTGCAGGGTGAGGGATGAAAGGATTCACCAGAGACAGAGTGAGGAGCAGAACAGGAAGACCTACTGAAATATGCTGCTAAGGGGAACAGCAGGCAAGACAGGAAAGGTGATTAACCCCTGGCTGGGGACTTAACCCTTAGGCCACCAGGAGGTTCTGTGTTCCTATATTTCTGCTGGAAGTTAATTGGACAACTTGAATCTGTGGAATGGCATCTTTCCTAAGTTCTGAAAAAAGTATAGTCATTATCTCTTTATATGCTGTCTTTGAATCATTTTTCTTTTTCTTCTAAAACCCAATAAGACATATTTTAGTTTTTGCCCTGCTTCTACCCTCTTATTTTCAGTCTACACCTCCTTTAAAACTCCATTTTTCTCTATCTAATCATCTGTTAAGTTACTCATTAAAATAGTGAAGATCAAGTCCCAGCACTCAAATATTTATAGTCTTGGAGGTAATACAGACATGAAAATAGATCATTATACATTTTCGATACAGAAAATAAAATAAAAATAATTTGAAGACAAATTGAAGGATGATGAGAGGATGTTCCCTGGAAGAAATTAATGAATAAGTTCAGTTATCACTAGTATGAAGGAAGACATATTGTATTTTTCAGAGATAGGAAGAGTCGTATATTATTCAACTAAATATAGACTTTGACAAAGAAACAGTAGTGGAAAGTTAGTTTGGAGTGGTTAGAATAACACCTTTAATGCCTAGATATGAAGGTAGTACTTTTGGCAGGGAGGTAGGGGACTTCTTTGATCTAATATATAAGCATTGCATTAAAACATTTGTATTGAATTTGTATAGTTTACATATTGTAATGTTTAGAAGGTTAGAAGCATGAACAGTTCTTGAAATAACCCCCCCCCGTAGTTCCCAAGCTCACTTTAGTAATTATAGCAATAAATGTGGCAAATGGATATAATGTCATTCGTTTCAATCATGAAGTGTAGTTTATTAATCGACAAAAAAATTACTTAGCTTTTTACATTTCCTCTTTGGAGAATTGTCTTTTTAGTTCTTCTGCCCATTTTTTGACTGGGTTGTTTACTTTGTTTTTGTTGAGTTCTGTGTGCTGTTTGTAGATCTTTGATATCAGTCTCTTATCAACCACTGTATGTTTTATAATGATATAACTTGCCCTAACCTATAAAGAGAAAACTGGTGAGAAGAAAATTAGCAAATGGAAAAGCACCTTAATAGGGAAAATAGGTGAGATAGAGGAAGGCGGCAAAATGTTTCTCTAAATTGAGCAAAAAAAAAAAAAAAAAGGACTATATGAAACAAGGCAGAAACATTCCATGCATAGTAATATGTTAAGTACTTTTGTAAGCCTGATCTGAGAACTTATCTACCTTTATACGTGTTTTCTGTAAGAATGTCATTTCTAAAATCAACTTTTGGAGCAGCTTATTTGTAATTTATGGAATTCAGTTGCAATAAAAATCTTTCTTGAATCTTGGCTAAATGTTTGGCTTTACCTGTTTTCTTACACATAAATTGAGGGTAATGTCTGATATGTATGATAGGAATACACATTTGTGTGTGTGTGTGTGTATAGTAGTTATATATGGAAGTACACACACATGCACTCTACTTGTTTATAAGGCTTTTACATGGCAAACACATCATATAAAATAATATGGTAAATTTTGGGAACTGTATGACCTTGGATAAGTTTGTTACATCTCAGTGCCCTAGCCTTCTTTCCTATAATATAGATATAATACTCCTTGTACTGTTTGTGAGGATTTATGACTTTAGATTTAAATTTTATGAGTTAAATTTATGAGTTTATCAGGACTTTACACCAACATATATTTTGATTTGCATTTCATAGTAATATATAAATGATAAAATAATATTTTATATCACTATCTGGCATAGTACCTATTTTTGTAGGTAAATTAGCAAATAATATTTAAATGATTTTTGAACTAGTGGATTTTTTTAAAGGAATATAAAATCACACATAAAACATTCATTTAAATCAGTTAGTAACATATTGTAGAGAAAGGAACACTGAAACACAAACATTAAGTACCTTAGAGTTTAGGCAATTTTCCAGTGATTGCTTACTTCTAACTAAATTATCTCTAGTCTTCTAGTTGTTTGTTTTTTGTTTTTTAATAAATCAAATAGGCACCCAGTGAGCATAAAACAGTAACTTTGATTGTGAGGACTTTTAATTACATGGGAAAATTATTAGAAGTGTTTCAATAAGAATTACTCTGAATAATTAAGGGTCCTATTGGAAAATTTTGGTTTTGTTTTTTTAAACAGAAGCAGCACAGTTTTTATTTTTGGTAAGAGAAAAAAAATACAAGAGAAGTTTAATGATACATATACCTCCTGTATACATAGGAGAGACCCAGTAAGACAGAGTAACTTGTCCATGTAACACAGTATCTTTAATCAAAAGCTGTCAACTTAAGTTTTTCGTCTTCCTACATCCCCTACAATAAATATGATAGCAATCATTCACAATCTTTAAAAGATTTTTTACTGTGACTAACATCCTGATAGAAGAAAACTAAATGTGAAGCCTTTTATATGTATGCTTAGGCTGTTCCTAATTAATGTTAGCATTATATTTGAATTATCCTTAGTTCTGTTTATATAAAGAATTACCTTAGTGGAATTTGTATGTTGTGTTATGCTTTGTTCTCTAACCAATTGAGCAATAAGTAGGGAATTTAGTTTAATTATTGATTTGATTATTCAAATTGCTTTGACTTACAACAGTGTTGGGGAAACTTTGGACAATAATCTAATTTAGTTTTAGACTCAGTTTTAGTTTTAGACTCTGTCCTGCAAATCTGCTTGAATATTTTCTTGACTTCAGCAACTTTTGTTAAACACAGATGAGATTTCATTTAGGTGACTTCAAGCTCTTCTTAAACTCTGTAAGTCTTTACTCTTTGAAAATATTAACTTCCAATTTTAAGGAGCAATTGATCCTAGTAATAAATTTTAACTTACTATTCACAGATTGCCCACGGACTCCAGATACTCCCAGTAGTGACCCTCGTTGTTCCACTAGCAATAATAGATTGATGGCCTTGCAGAAACAATTGGATATAGAGCATAAAGTGAAACAAGGTGCAGAGAACATGATACAGATGTACTCAAATGGGTCTTCAAAGGTAAGTACAGTAAGTAATTGTAAGTCTATATAGTCAGTATTTATTATTTGTATATTTGGTATTTAAGAATTTACTTAAATACCCCAAATTAGTACTTAAATACCCAACTTTACTCAAATACCCCAAATTAGTACTTAAATACCCCAGTTTACTCAAATACCCCAAATTAGTACTTCTGGGACTTTCGCAGTCATTTGTTGACATGCACAGAAGAGTAGAAACATCAGTTCATGTGTATGTTCACAACTGATGTGAAGTCACGTATCATTCTGTTGCCTTGTTTAAGTTGTCACTTTTTTGCTTTTGAAAATTTTACTATTCAAACACTATGATTGGTAGGTATATATCCATGTGTATATATTTATATTATTATAGAAGTATACATGCATATCTTAGCCTTCAAATTTGAAAGTATCAGCAACAAAGTAAGTTGAAACAAAATGGTTTTTATTTTTTTAACTATAACTTTTTTATTATTAATTTTTTCATTTTTTTTAAGATTATTTATGTACAAGAGCTGGGGTACAGGCCAGAGTCGCGGGAGGGTGAGAGGATTCACCAGAGACAGAGCGGGGAACAGAACAGGCAGACTGACGAAACACACTGCTGAGGGAAGCAGCTGGCGAGATAGGAGAGGTTGGCTACACCATGTGGGACTCTTGCCGGCTGGCCAGGATCAAACTCATGCTGCAGAGGCTGCGGACAGCTTCACAGCACAGCATTCAACCTGCTGTGCCACCGGGGAGGCCCCAAATGGTTTTTAAAATATTTTTAAAATTACTTATTTCTAACAAAACTAATAGAAAATTTGGTTACATAAGTATAGGGTACACAGCACTCTATTTGCAAATTTTGTTAAAATAGAAAATTTTTTTAAAAATCAGATCCTATTGAATTTTCCATTTCTGCATATGTTTTAATGAAACGACAGGATATTCTAGCATAAATGATTATTTGGACTAGATCTGTGAGCTTTTGAGGGATCTGGTATGGGTATATAACTCTTACTTGAAAGTCATTGTTACAGGGGAAAAGTGTTACTAATGACACAGTGTCCTTCTTTTGAGGTATTATTTTGAGAAAGAAAATAATCGGGAACCACTGAACCAGATTATCTTGAAAGTTCTTTCCAATTTTAGAGTCTGTAGTTTTTAAATTTCTAAAAAGGATAGATAGGTGTATTATAAAATGTACTTTTTAACTCTCAGCTCATTTATTTTAAAGATGCTTGCCTCTGCAGATCAATGGGTTTTTCCCATATTTTAATAGATATTTATTTAAAAAATTCAAGATAAAAGTTGTTTTTTGTGTTTTCTTTTTTTAAGTTTAGGAGTAATTTGAAAATGAGAGGTGGGATCTTCACTCAGTCATTTACCTTACCGTTTGAAATTAGGGGAGATGCGAAAAGATAGAAATGCACCTGTGTCCATATTCAAAGGCATTTTTAAATGTTAATAGAAATATATTTGTTCCTACTTGATACATTACTTATGTGATGTAATACAGACAGTATTTCACTAACTTTGATCATTTATTATGGAGTAGCAGAGTTGGTATTTTCTGTTATTGTTCTTGGCATTCAATGCTGACCTTTAGTTTTAGAGATTTTTCATTTTTTAATCAAATGTTATTTTGAACTTTTTTTTAGAGGGCAAATACTATGTTTTTATTTATGTGGATACACTATATTATGCTGAGTGTTTTAAAATTTAATCAACCAGTAACCATCCTTTGGAATAAGGGTTTTTAATCTAGGGAGGATGGATTAGATTGAGACATTTCTGAACCCTCAATGAATGAATCAGAGCCATATGTTTCATTGTATTCTCAAAGTGGTCTGCAACCACCCCCCAGCATTGAATAGGGTTATAGACATGCTTAAAGTAAAATAAATAAAATACTACCATAACTACAATTATAAATTGAATAGGTCTATGAGCAACTTGCTAAAACAAATGAATAATTTTCCCATAGCCTTTTATTTTTAATTAGGAAATTAATCTGAGAAGGGAGTCATGTAGAGGTCCAGAGCATGCTAACAGCTGCCGTAGTCTCTGAGGTAGGCATGCTAATTATTGTTGTTTAAGTTTGGTCTCAACTATTTTTGTTTTTCATCTCTGAACCTCTGAAAGGGTCAAGTGTATCTTCACAAGATACAGGAATATTTTAAGTTGAATAGGATATTAGTTTATTTATTAAGAACTTAACAGTTTGGGAGCCATTATGCTAGGTTTTGGTATATGAATGTAACAAAGATAGTTCCTTATACATAGTAGATACTCAGTAGATCATATCTTACTTTCAAGAGAGCCATATCTAAAAAAGATACCACATGTAAGTAATTACGTATATAATAGGAGTATGTTATTTTGGAAGCACAATTGTGAAAAATCACTTAGCTGATATAAGAAAATATTAAAGTCTTAAGAGAATATTGAAGGCTTAATATAAGATTAGAAGGATTTGTAGTTTAAGGAATTACTTTCTAGGGATGGTCCTGTGGGTGAATCAAGTATGTACAGGTTAAGCAACTGGAATAATGTGGCTTTTTCTAAGAAATGGAAGTGCTTTTAAATGGCTATCACAACAGTGCTCAGCTTTTTTCTTTTTCTTTTTCTTTTTTTCTTTTTTTAGAACTGGGGTATAGGCCAGAGGTGTGTGTGGGGGGGGAGAGGATTCACCAGAGAGAGTGGGGAGCAGAACAGGCAGATCTACTGTAATACACTGCTGAGGGGAGCAGCAGGCAAGACACGAGAGGTCTGCTGCTCCATGTGGATTGCTCCCTAACTGGCCAGGGATCAAACTTGTGCTGCAGTGGCTGCCAATTGCTTGGTAGCGCTGTCTTTAACCCCTGTGCCACCAGGGAGGCCCTCAGCTTTTTTCTTATGTAACTTATCTGAGGGTAAGTGAAGTGCCCTTCTAACAATAACAGTCATCAACTGTAACAGTCAAACAGTCATTTTCAATGAAAGGTCATGCCTTCATTGGAGAACAAATCTAAACCTCTAGGAAGGCACATCTTATTTTGGATAATCCTCCATGTGATTCCAACAGGAGGTTTTTTTTGTTTTTTTTCTCCTGTTCACAGCAGGTAGAGCTTTAATTGGGTGAGGTGTAGCATAAGTGAAAGAAACCCAGATTATAAAGTATACTTTGGACAAAATGAAACAGTTGAGATTCTATCTTATAAGACAAATGGGGCTGCTGAAATACTTCTTAGCAGAGAAAATACACATCATCAGATTTAAAGTTTAGAAAGTTCACATCTATTTTCCTCAGACTTGAAGATTTAATTAAAGAGGGTCAATCAAGTCTTAAAGGCTGCATGTTTAAGTAGACTCTTGGGAAAATCCAGGTTAAACATGCTTCCTCCCCTTGTAACAGCAGTGAAAACAACAGTCATGCTATGTAGTTAGAATAAATATGTGGTCTGGATATGAAGTAGAAGGGAGAATTGAAGATGATTTTTAGATTGGTTATAGTCAGACTGTTAAATGTTGGTGTCCTTACAATGATAGGTAATTCACTATATATGGAGCAAATTTCAGGAGAGGAATAATTCATTCAGTTTTGCTCTGAACAATTGTCTTTAAAACTCTGGTTAGGGCCTCCCCTGGTAGCGCAGCAGTTGAGCGCTGGGCTGCGAAGCTGCCCTCAGCCTCTGCAGCGCCGATTCGATCCCCAGCCCCCAGCGAGGGTCCCACATGGTGCGACAGACCTCTCCTGCCACGTCCACTGCTCCCCTTAGCAGTGTATTTCCTCAGTGTGCCTGTTCTGTTCCCTGCTCTGGCTCTGGTGAGTTCTCTGACCCTCCTGCTCTTCTGACTGTGCCCAGTGCTTTTGTAAGTAAATAAATAAATCTTTATTAAAAAATAAATAAAACTCTGGTTATTGGATTCTGTATGATAAAATTGTTATTCTAGGACATCTTAAGCCAGAGTAGTCCTTTCAAAAAGTGTAAGTCAAATATTTTCACATTCCTGTTCAAAACCCTGCAGTAACTTTCTATCATGCTTAGAACAAAATCCAGATTTCCTACTTGAGACTGCAAGTTCATACATGATTTACTCTTGACTACCTTTTGATCTTCTAAAATACTTTCATTCTCTTTTATTACCCTCCAGCTACATTGGCTTCTTTGCTATCACTTGAACATACCAAGCACACTCGTACTTCTGGGCCTTTCATTTACTATGTCTCTGCTTGGATATTTCTTCTCCCGAGTACTTTACATGGCTTTCTCTCTCAGTTCTTTAAAGTCTGCTCAGATGCTACCACCTCTACAAGTTCTTCATTACTATCCTATGTAGAGTAGCAGCCTCTGTCTTTGCTTCTCCCTTTTACTGGATTACCAGTACTGAAAATTATAGTTAATAGAGAAATAATATTAATTTCATGATTCTAAGCAGCACTGCTGGTTTTCAGAATAATCTCTGAGTGCTTGATAAGACATGTCTCCAACATGTCTCCCATTTATATATTCAGATGACAAGACAAACTGTTAAAATTTGAATTCCTTCTAACCTCTAACTCTTCTTTTTAAAAATGCTCTCACATCTTTTCATACTTTTTACTCACTTGAAAATACCTGACCATTTATCCAGGCTCCCCTTTTCGTCTTCCAGTACTGACATACTTCATATTCAATTTTATGTACAGAAACAACTCATAAAACCTTTTTGGATCCCCTTAGCTAAAATTAATCCCATCCTTCTTTGAGCTTTTCCTTGGGTACTTTTAATATTGTATACATCTGTACTTTTTCAGTCAAACTATAAGATTTATAGGGTAGCATCCTAACTAATTAATCTTTGTATTTTCACTAGATGTGATAACCATAGTATGCAAAATTAGCCATAAATATGTTTTGGAAAAATAATAATTGGTTTATTTATTTCTGAAAGTTGTATGTATAATGTAGTTTATTTGTTATAGTATCCCACTAATGACTTGTAAAAGTTTTAAAATAAAATTTAAAAGTATATAATTTGAAATTATAAAACATTAATTTATGTTTTTGTAATTGTAAAACACTGCACATTCCAGATTTAACTGTTCATTATGGAATGCTAATTACCAATAGTAAACTGCATTAAACAGTCCTTTTTATATGATTCAAACAATTATATAAAAAATTTCCCTAAAATCTTAGTATAAAAGAAAGGTTATTAAAATAATTTAAAAGGGAGTAGCTGATTTGAAAAGCATACTAGGGCTTCCCCTGGTGGCGCAGCGGTTAGCGCTAGGCAGCGAAGCTGCCCGCAGCCTCTCCAGTGCCGGTTCAATCCCCGATCGCTGGGGAGGGTCCCACATGGCGTGGCAGACCTCTCCTGTCGCGCCCGCTGCTCCCCTCAGCAGTGTATTTCGTCAATCTGCCTGTTCTGTTCCCCACTCTGTCTCTGGTGAATCCTCTCACCCTCTCGTGCATCTGTCCTGTACCCCAGTTCTTATATAAATAAACAAACAAACAAATAAATAAATAAATAAATCTTTTTTAAAAAGCATACTATTAGTTAGAATTTCATTGAAATAATCATTAATCAATCAATATTTTTATTGCTCTAAAAAGCACATTTAATCATGTGCTGGACAATATAATTTTAGTTTTATTTAATGCTTACAGAAGTTATATATTTTTGAGTGGCATTCCTTGTCTGTACAATTTCTGTAAGAAATCTAAAGCTTGCATTAAGATAGGCAACTTCTCCAAGCTTATATGTAAGAGACTTGGACCTAAGTCTATCTGCAAGCACATTTGTTCACATTAAATTAGGAACTTCGGGATATTAAATTTTTCTGCTACTGTGATCTGGTTTCAAAGAAATAGAAAAGTAATTTCCTATCTTCGGTTTGTCTGATGTTCCTAATACTGTATAGGAGGAGGAGAAGGAATAAAAGTGAAATTAAAGAGAAAATTATTTTCATTTTAAGTTTTGAAGGCAGATAGTTGATATAGTTGTATATATAAAAGCATATGTAATAAGTCATAAATACCAATCAAGCCAGTATCCTTATTGATAAAGCAAAATTAGCAAATTGGATGTGTGTGCACCTCTTGGTATAAATTGATGTTCAAGGGACTTTATTAAACTAATTCAGCGCCTTGGTGCATGAAATCTAAATACTTAAATATAAAAAAACAAATTGAAAGCTATTTTCATTATTGACTAACCCAGGGAAGAAATGGAAGAAAAATTCATCAATTTGCTGGTTACTTTTTCTTCCACTGTATAGTAACTTAGTTTGGTATTTAACGCAGTATATTTCACCTCACTTTCTTTCTTTCTTTCTTTCTTTTAATTATATAATGGCAGTATTGTCTTTCCTACCACACATATTTCCTTCTTTCCTTTTGTTCTTGTATCATTGTATATACTGTGTGTGTGTGTATTTGGTTTATAGATGCTGCCTTACAGTCTTTAATCTCCTAACAAATATAGCTTGATTGTACTTTATTTACAAATTAATGCTTTCTGCCTTTAGTGGTAACAAAAAAGATGAATAAATAATATGAAAAAATCTGCCTGAAAACAAATGAGTGCTTAATAACTTGATACTTAGTTTTATTTATTTATTTATTTATTTATTTATTTATTTATTTATTTATTTATTTATTTTTTGCAAATTGAAATCTAGACTTCAATTGATGTAACTTTTAGAGCAGGAGATTGCATTAACTTCTATTAGTTGTCTCTTATGAGACTTTGAAAAAAATGCTTATATTAGTTTTCTGTGATTGCTGTGACAAATTATCACAAATTTAGTGACTTTAAAAAAGCCTGAAATGGATCTCACTGAACTAAAAAAATAACAAGGTCTTGGCAAAGCTGCCTTGTCTTTTGAGGATATAGGAGAACTTCTTTTTTCTTTCCAGTTTCTAGAGGCTGCCCTCATTCCTTGGTTCATGACCCCTTCCTCTGTTCAAAGCCAACACAGCAGACTAATTTTTCTCACATCACTCCGACCACCTCTTCTGCTTTCCTCTTCCACATTTAAGGATTACATTGGGTCCACTTGCATAATGTGGGATAACCTCATATTTTAAAATTTGATAACAACCTTAAATTCATCTGCTATCTTAACTTCCTTTGTCATGTAAGGTAACATATTCACAAGGTCTGGAGATTAGGACATGGACATCTTTAAGTGAATCACAATTTTGCCCACCACAGATACTAAAATGATTAAGGTTTTTTTTTGTGATTTTTCTGTCAGTAACATTCATTCACTGTTACTGGAACTAAACAGAGGTGCTACAGTAGCATTACTGCACTCTATTGAGGACTTTTCTTGAAGTCTTAATAGATGACAGATGTTTATTCACTCTGCCTTCCTCCCTAGTTTTACCATTAGTGTTGATAATTGTTTGTGGTTTCCTTTATTAGAATTTAAGGGAACACAAGTATTCTGTGATTAGCTGTTTTTAAAATTTGCTTACATATTTGAAGCTCCATGGAAATGTAAGTGAAATATAACAGGAGAAGAGATTATCTAAAATTTTTATGTTTGTCACTCAGGTGTATGTCACTTACATTGCTCTGGTGTATGTGAGCTGTATTGACTGTGATACAGGAAAACTCTTTATATTTTATGTAAACAAAGAAAGAGAAATGGGCCTCCCCAGTGGCGCAGCGATTGAGCGCTGGGTTGCGAAGCTGGCCACAACCTCTGCAGTGCCGGTTCAATCCCCGGCTGCTCCCCGGCCACCGGAGGAGGGTCCCACATGGTGTGCAGACCTCTCCTGCCTCTCGCTGCTCCCCTCAGCAGTGTACTTCGGTCCTTCTGCCTGTTCTGCTCCCCTCTCTGGCTCTGGTGAATTCTCTCATCCTCCCGCGCTTCTGACTGTACCCAGTGCTTGTATAAATAAATAAATAAATCTTTAAAAAAAAGAGAAATTTGCAGATAGCAATTTGAATTTTTTTGAACAGTAATAAAATTCACTTTTTCCCCCCAAATTGTCTTAACTATAGGTTTCCACATGCTCAAAAAACAAACAAACAAAAAAAACCAAAAACCATGTAAAATTAATGGTAATAGCATTCCCAGTGCTCCAGTATAACCTATTAAGTCATACCAAATAGGAATGTTCTGCTTTCAGATAGCAAGGGATATCTGTATGGGAGTTGTTTTTCCTCATTACCCTATCTGTTTGGTGACTTTTTACAATAAATTTATCTACAAGAATATATATATATATATATATATATATATATTACAGTGCTCACTGCATTCATTTATTACTCAGTTTTCCATTTGCTCATATCATTTGATCTTATTGAGAAACTATGAAGATGTTTTTATTTGTTTATCTATTTACCTTTTCAAACTTCTTCCCAATAGGATCGGAAACTCCATAGCACAGCTCAGCAACTGCTCCGGGACAGCAAGACAAAAATAGAAGTCATACGAATGCAGATTCTTCAGGCAGTCCAAACCAATGAATTGGCTTTTGACAATGGTGATGGAATAAATTGTTATTGTTTTTATTATGGGCATAGCGTGCTATTATGTAGGAAAGAAGCAGTGGTTCAAAATTAAGGAGGAAGAGGCATATTTTTATGTTGAGATTTTATCCTTGAGTTTTTTGTTTTTTTTTTTTTGAAGATTTATTTATTCATTTACACAAGAACCGGGGTACAGGCCAGATGCACGGGAGGGTGAGAGGCTTCAGCAGAGACAGCGGGGAACAGAACAGGCAGACTGACAAAATACACTGCTGAGGGGAGCAGCGGGCCGAGACAGGAGAGGTCTGCCGCGCCATGTGGGACCCTTGCTGGCCAGCCAAGATCGAACTGGCTCTGCAGAGGTTGTGGGCAGCTTCACAGCACAACGCTCAACTGCCTGCACCACCAGGGGAGGCCCTATCCTTGAGTTTTGATGACTAAAAATGAAAGGCTCTGAATTTCAGCATTGTTTCTGTTCAGTGTTACTTCAGTGTTTATTTACTTAAGGATTAACTTTTGTTTTAATATAGACTGCATTTTGTTTTCATGAGTTTTAATCTGCACATATTAGACAGTCAAATAAATGGCTCAATTTTTTTTTTTCTTCCCTCTAGCAAAGCCTGTCATAAGTCCTCTTGAACTTCGGATGGAAGAATTAAGGCATCATTTTAGGATAGAGTTTGCAGTAGCAGAAGGTGCAAAGAATGTAATGAAATTACTTGGCTCAGGAAAAGTAACAGACAGAAAAGCACTTTCTGAAGTAATTTTAAATAAAACTTTTCCCTTACTGAATATATTATTCAAAAATATAATTAATTTAAATGATGACAATTACCTTTTCCCTTTCAAGGCTCAAGCAAGATTTAATGAATCAAGTCAGAAATTGGACCTTTTAAAGTATTCCTTAGAGCAAAGATTAAATGAACTTCCTAAGAATCACCCCAAAAGCAGTATTATTATTGAGGAGCTTTCGCTTGTTGCATCACCAACACTAAGTCCACGTCAAAGTATGATATCTACACAAAACCAGTATAGTACACTATCCAAACCAGCAGCACTAACAGGTATGTAGTTTGTGTCTCCTTACTTTTATGTGTACATTTTGTCCCTAGTCTTGGTTTCATGAATGATTTAAAAATTTATGCATAGAATTTTAAAATATTTTGGTAAAACACACAAAACCAAATTTATTATTCTAAACATTTTGAAGTATATGATTTAGAGGCATTTAGTATCCTCACAATGTTGTGTAACTATCACTACTATATAGTTCTAGAGCAGTTTCACCACCCTTTTAAAAGGAAACCCCATACCCATCAAGTAATCACTCCCCAGTCTTGTCCCTCACCCTCTAGCACCACTTTTGACTTCTATCTCTACAGGTTTGTCTATTCTAGATATTTCCTATACGTGGAATTAATAATTTGTCACCTATCATACGTCTTTCACTTAGCATACTGTTTCATGGATTTTTTCTTCTTATAGTGTGTATTAGTACTTCATTCCTTTTTATGGCTAAAGAATACTGCATTGTATAAATATGTATTCAATTTTGTTTATCCATATATCTTTTTTTTTTTTAAATAAATGATGGTATTTATTTATTTATTTTTTTTTAAATATTAAATTTTATTTTTATATTCCCCCATACAATTGCAAACGCCCCATTCTGACCCAATCCTTCCCTCCCGCCCCCCACCCCCAAAAAGTGTCTCTGGTTCATAGTTTTTTGTTGATTTTGATTTTCACTTTCTTATATTCATTTTCCTGGTCCCTTATTTAAGTTTTCTAGATTCCTGCTATGAGTGAGACCATCCGGTATTTTTCTTTTTCTTTTTGGCTTATTTCGCTGAGCATGATCCCTTCCAGTGCCATCCATGTTGCTGCAAATTGCATGTGTTTATCTTTTTTGAATGCTGAGTAATATTCCATGGTATATATGTACCACATCTTCTTGATCCAGTCATCTATTTTTGGGCATTTGGGTTGTTTCCAAAGCTTAGCTATTGTAAACAGTGCTGCTATAAACATAGGAGTGCAGGTGCTCTTTGGAATTGATGTTTCTGTGTCCTTTGGGTAAATACCTAGGAGTGGAATTGCTGGATCATATGGAAGCTCTATGTTTAGTAGGTCCAGAAATCTCCACACAGCTCTCCATAGTGGTTGGACCAGTTTGCACTCCCACCAACAGTGCACAAGAGTTCCTTTTTCTCCACATCCTCGCCAACATTTGTTGTTGCTAGTTTTTTTAATATGTGCCATTCTCACTGGTGTGAGATGGTATCTCATGGTAGTTTTGATTTGCATTTCCCTGATTACAAGTGATGTTGAACATTTTTTCATATGTCTGTTGGCCATTTGCATTTCCTCTTCAGAGAAGTTTCTTTTTAGCTCTTCTGCCCATTTTTTGACTGGATTATTTTCTTTGTTGTTGCTGAGTCTCATCAGCTCTTTGCAGATTTTTGTGATCAGTCCTTTATCATTAGTGTTGGGTGCAAAAATGTTCTCCCAGTTGGTGGGGTTTCTCTTTGTTTTTGTTATTGTCTCTTTTGCTGTGCAGAAGCTCTTTAATTTGATGTAGTCCCAGCTGTTTATCTTTCTCTTCATTATCACTGCTTTGGGTGATGTGTCTGTAAAGATGTCTTTGATGTGCAAATCCCGTAGTGTTTCGCCTATATTTCCTTCTATGTATTTTATGGTTTCAGGTCTTATGTCTAGTTCTTTAATCCATTTTGAGTTGATTTTTGTGTATGGTGTGAGGTAGTGGTCAAGCTTCATTCTTTTGCATGTAGCGACCCAGTTTTCCCAGCACCATTTATTGAACAAACTTTCTTTGCACCAATGCATAGTCTTCACTCCTTTGTCAAAGATTAGTTGACCATAAATCTGTGGGTTTATTTCTGGATTTTCTATTCGATTCCATTGGTCTGTATGTCTGTTCTTGTTCCAATACCATGCAGTTTTGATGATTATGGCTTTGTAGTATAGTTTGAAGTCTGGGAGTGTGATGCCTCCATTTCCTTCTTTTTTTTTCAGTAGAGCTTTGGCTATTCGGGGTTTTTGGTGATTCCATATGAATTTCATCAATAATTGTTCTATTTCTTTGAAGAATGCCATTGAGATTTTGATTGGAATAGCATTGAATCTGTATATTGCTTTTGGTAGGATGGCCATTTTAATAATGTTTATTCTTCCAATCCATGAGCAGGGGATGTCTTTCCATTTCTTTGTGTCTTCTTCTATTTCTTTTAACAGTGTTTTATAGTTTTCTTTGTATAGGTCCTTTACCTCTTTTGTTAGATTTATTCCCAAATATTTGATTTTTTTTGTTTCGATAATAAAAGGGGTGGTTTTTTTGATTTCTTCTTCTTCAGATTTATTGTTTGTGTATAGGAAGGCTACTGACTTTTGCGTGTTGATTTTGTATCCTGCCACTTTACTGAATTGATTGATGAGTTGAATTAGTTTTTCTGTGGAGATTTTGGGGTTCTCTATGTATATTATCATATCATCTGCAAATAGTGATAGTTTGACTTCTTCTTTTCTTATTTGGATTCCTTGGATGTCTTTCTCTTGTCTTATTGCTCTGGCTAGGACTTCCAGTATTATATTGAAAAGCAGTGGTGAGAGTGGACATCCTTGTCTTGTTCCAGATCTTAATGGAATTGCTTTCAGCTTTTCACCATTGAGAATGATACTGGCTGTTGGCTTGTCATAGATGGCCTTTATGATGTTGAGGTATGTTCCTTGTATCCCAAGAATTTCAAGGGCTTTTATCATGAATGGGTGTTGCACTTTGTCGAAAGCTTTCTCAGCATCTATTGATATTATCATATGGTTTTTATATTTCTTTTTGTTGATGTGTTGGATAACGTTGATTGATTTTCGGATGTTAAACCATCCTTGTGCCCCTGGAATGAATCCAACTTGGTCGTGGTGAATTATCTTATGGATACATTGTTGGATTCTGATAGCTAAAATTTTATTGAGGATTTTTGCATCAGTGTTCATTAGGGAGATTGGCCTATAGTTTTCCTTTTTTGTGTTGTCCTTATTCGGTTTTGGTATTAGTGTAATATTGGCTTCATAGAACGTGTTTGGTATTGTCCCTTCCTTCTCAATTTTTTGGAAGAGTTTGTGAAGGATAGGCACTAATTCGTCTCTGAATGTTTGGTAGAATTCATTTGTAAATCCATCAGGTCCTGGGCTTTTGTTTTTGGGGAGGTTTTTAATTACCATTTCAATTTCGCTGCTTGTAATTGGTCTGTTTAGGTGTTCTATTTCTTCTTTATCTAGCTTTGGGTGATTGTAGAGTTGTAGGAATTTGTCCATCTCCTCTAGATTGTTGAACTTGTTTCCATATAACTGTTCATAGTAGTTACTGATTATTCTTTTGATTTCTGCTGTGTCCGTTGTGATTTCTCCTCTTTCATTTATGATTCTGTGTATTTGTGCTTTCTCCCTTTTTTCCTTTGTGAGCCTGGCTAGGGGTTTGTCTATTTTATTGATTTTTTCAAAGAACCAGCTCTTGGTTTCATTGATCTTTTGGATTGTTTTTTTAGTTTCAATTTCATTTATTTCTGCTTTGGTTTTTATTATTTCTTTTCTTCTACTGGTTCTGGGGTTTTTTTGTTGTTCTTTTTCTAGATCTTTGAGCTTCGAGATTAGGTTGTTTCTTTGAGTTCTTTCTTGTTTTGATTGATGAGCTTCTATTGCTATATATTTTCCTCTTATTACTGCTTTTGCTGCATCCCATACATTTAGGATATTGGTGTCCTCCTTGTCATTCAATTCAAAGAATTTTTAATTTCTTCTTTGATCTCCTCGTTAGTCCAGTGGTCTTCCAGTAGTGTGGCTTTTAATCTCCATGAGGTAGGATAGTTCCTTGCCTTCTTTTTATGATTTATTTCTAGTTTGATGCCTTCGTGGTCAGAAAAGATGGTTGGTATGATTTCAATCTTGGTGTATCTGTTGATGTTTGTCTTGTGCCCCAGTATGTGATCGATCCTGGAGAATGATCCGTGTGCGCTTGAGAAAAATGTGTACTCCGTTTTTTTTGGGTTTAGTGTTCTATAGATGTCTGTTAAGCCCAAATGCTCTAGGTCCTTATTTAGAGCTTTAGTTTCTTTACTTATTTTTTGTCTTGTTGATCTATCCATTGTTGATAGTGGTGTGTTGAAGTCTCCCACTACATATGTGTTTTTCTCTGATGTCTGTTTTCAGAGAGGACAACAGTTGTCTGATATATTTTGGTGCTCTTTCGTTTGGTGAGTATATGTTAATGAGTGTTATTTCTTCTTGAAGTATTGTCCCCTTAATCATAATGTAGTGACCATTGGGGTCTCTTTTTATTTTTTTGAGTTTGAAGTCTGTTTTATCTGATATAAGTATAGCTGTTCCTGCTTTCTTTTTTGGCCCATTTGCTTGTAGGATTGTTTTCCATCCTTTGACTTTGAGCCTATTTTTATCTTTTGTAGCTAAATGTGTTTCCTGGAGACAGCAAAAGGTTGGGTTTTGTTTCTTAATCCAGGCTGCAACTCTGTGCTTTTATTGAGAGTTTAGTCCATTTACATTTAGAGTTAATATTGATATGTTAGCATCTGTATTTGCCATTATGTTTGTCTTTCCTTTGATTTTATTAATAACTTTTTTTTTTTTTTTTGGTCTTCTTTCGTTGTTATTCGTCCCTCTGAGGTTCTGGCTTTAGGATTCCTTGTAGTATTTTTTGGAGTGGGGGTTTAGTCGCAATGAAATTCCGGAGTTTCTCTTTGTCTGGGAAGGTCCATATTCTTTCTTCATGGAGGAAAGAGAGCTTTGCGGGATAGAGTATTCTTGGTTGGCATCTGTTTTCTTGGAGTCTGTTGACTATGTCCCTCCACTCTCTCCTTGCCCGTAGTGTTTCTTCAGAGAAGTCTGATGTCAGCCTGATTGATTTTCCTTTGAATGTTATCTGTTTCTTCCCTCTTGTCAGCTTCATTATTTTTTCCTTGTCCTGGATTCTTGGGAGCTTTACTATTATGTGTCTTGCTGTGTTTTTCCTTTCGTCGTGGAAGTTTGGTGTTCT